TGTTTTAGCCAGTTTCAGTTGAAACTCAGTTGAATTCAGTTGAATTCATTCACTAAATGAATTCAAACAGAAGGAATAGAGAGGAAGGCTCAGTCATCAAATGCAGTGGCAGCAAGTGGTTCTATATTAATTTCACCAAGCCGTGCTGGAACAAGTTGGGTTGAATCTTTAAGGCAGTGTCTCTGTGCCTTCTTGTTTTCTATTTTATCGAAATTGCATGCCCAGTTCAGCCTTTAAAATTTTATAAACTATATTTAGCAAACTCTGTACAATTATTTGAGACATTTTCTTCTTAGCTGGTCAAAATAGTAACATATCAAAGGGAGCCATGTATAAGATTTGACTGAAGCTCAGTGTTCCTTAGGTAAATCCGTTCTAGTCCTTTATCATTTGTTTGGAAGATTAAGTTATTGCCTAGACTTATTTTTTTTTTTCCCCACTACAGTTAGGAGACTCCAAGGTGTGCTATTCTCCTGCTTCTGATTCTTCATTTACATAACTAATAGGCAAAAGCATTCCTGCAGATGCATTAGTAGGGCTAAAGAAGTGCACTGCTGTTATAGCCATTCAAGGATCTGGTTTAAGCTGTCCTATCCATGGAATTACTCAGCTAGTATAATAGAACGAATTAGCTCTCCTGATAAAGAGGTGGTAAAATTAATCAATTTTTCTCCATTAATTGATTTCAAGCCAAAAGAAGCATATGTCTTTTAAAATCAATAGTCAGTCTTACCAATATAGTAATTTCTGTATGTCACCCATCTATACAAATGTGTAGAGAATGCATGATATGTAGTTTGTTTCCTAAAAAAATATTTCCAGTGAGTTTGTAAAGAAACACACCAAGGCATAGTAGTTGGGCTTATATTATACACACAGTAATGCAGCTGCAAATTGCTGCCGTTAGGAATTAGCTATTAGCTTCGTGCTCAGATCTAGCCTCATAGCCTCTTGCAGTCATGCCCGAAAAGGTAGTGGTTGATTTGTGGCAAATTTTACCCAAACTGCCTGGCCTCAATTGTCTGCTAATTTCAGATGAAAGTTTCGAGAGAACATCACTCTAGTTCCAGAACTAAAGAGAATATGTAGTAAGGAAGAAAACAGGAAGACGCTTTAGAACTTGCAGTAAAGTGTTTAGGCTTGAAATTTTCATCACTTTGCAATTTCATTAAAATATCTTCTATTTGTAGTTCAGAAAGTAAATTGTTAATAGTGAGCAGTTAGGAAATGGATGTACTGGGGAAAAACCAGCAATAAGAAAAAGTGAAAAGACATCTTCCTCACTGGAACTAAGCTTTCTTCTAAACATATTAGGTCACACAAAACTTAGATTTGTCTCTTCTGCTTTGTTTCTGACATGCTTGTTTACTTTGGTTTATTTTCTAATCAGCATAGGTAAAAGCTCATGTAGAAACTGATGAAGATCCTAAGAGATTGCATTAATAACCTATCTTGGCAGGTTGTAAGTGAATACATACTCCAGCTCTCTCTCCTGCGGACACAGCAGACTAGGAAATGGATCGTATTCACCATCACAAACTTAATATTTTGCTCCAAAATGTTGTAATAAAGTCTACAGTGAAATGTCCGCATGCTTATTTATTGACTCCTGAAAAATCAATAGAAATGGCTTTAGAATGTATATGTATACTACATATACTCATGTATATAGTAACATACCTTGGTGAAACTCTTGTTGGCATATGTTGTTCCAGCAAGTATGCTAACAGAAGAATTAAGCTACATTGGTATGCTAGTGCTAGACTTTACCAGCAAACAAAACTACTTGCATGCCGTTGTTCTCCTATGTGATCAGACACAGCTAAGATAGCTCTAAATATGTCCCACGCACACAGGCTATATGTGATTTCTGGGAAATTATAAAAGGCTTTTATTTAGTAACCATGTTGATTTAAGAGGTCAGACTGCAAAAGTGCTAGCAGGATTTTACATATCTTAAAATTTGCCTTTTCCTCTAAGGAACTACAAGAGTGGGAAATTGGCAGACTTGGGATCCATGCCTGAATTTGGGTTTCAGACTCTTTCTGCCCTTGAATCTTGTAGATAAATTCAGAGGGTTGTTGAAATGCCATTCTGATTTTTAAAAACACTTAGTTTCCCAGAGTATTTTTGTATACTTGCATGACTATATGTGAAGGTTAAGGATTTATGTGTTCTTTATGCTTTTTTGCTGCTGTTTCTCATTTGGTATGTTAAACATGGATTATCTGGCAAAACAGAGGAATAATTCTGAAAAGCTAGAAGGTGATAAACATAATTTTCACTTGAAGAGATAAGTAAATTCATGTAATGCTTACTAAAGTAAAAATAGAAGTTTATTCCAAATGTAGAATTTACTGAACTGAGTATGATTTAAGTATATGTATTAAACTGTTGGTTCATTAAGTAACAGTGTAGGGCAACACGTTTAAACACAAAAGTTTTAATAACAGTAGGAAATTGGAAGCAACCCATACCGTTATACTATTCAAACTGATTGAAACTCAGATGGATGTGATGGATAGTATGGCAACTATAATTATGTGAGCGCTAATAATAGTTTCCTGTGGATTTTTATCTTGTGCTTGAGTAGCTTTCATGTCTGATTGACACCATCAACTCTAATTAAAGCTGTTTTCATGATTTAGACATTTCGAGTAGTTCTTGTCCATGTGGCCACTAGTGAGATACAAGCTTGGGTTATGACACGTGGAAGGTTGCCTGCCTCTGTCCAGTCACCTATTTTCATGATTTTTTGTAAGAACTTTTTTTTATACCTCTGTTCAAATCAGTCTGTTCAAAAGAGAGGATATCAAGGATAGGCTGCAACTGTATAGTCAGATAAGCAATGTTGGAGACTCTTTACCTAAATAGAAGGTGATGACAGTATGGGATTCCTAATGAGATTCTGTAAGAATCTTTGCTTGGATCATTCTTTTTAGATTACATTTGGCATGATTTTTAATCTCTTTTTGAATCAGAATAACACAAAGATGATGCTCCATTAGAAATAAATAGAAATTCCCAAGCTTAGAGACAGTAATCTTACAAAAGTCCTAAAGGGATTAGAGAAACAGACAAAAAATAATAAGGTAGGGCGATGTATATTAAATGTAAGCTAAAACATAAGAGAAGAAAGGGAAGAAAAGGCAAAAATGTAGATAGTTCATAAACCCTAGGAGGCAATAGTTGAAGTAGGAGAATTAATGCATCACATCTGTGACATAATGGGTGCAAATAAGTCTAACATTTTTAGCTTGGAAACACGGGCACCACGAATAAGCTAGGAGCAGCCCTTTCCTTGGGAGTTCAGGTGCAACTGCAAAATGAAAAAAAATGAAGAAAATCTTTTTCTTTTCCCCCTTCACATACTTCTTTGTAACTTTGCCGAGTTGTTGGAGCTCATCCCTTTCAAACTATGGCTTTGAAATTGGTAGGAGTAGGGTTATGGAAAAATGGAAGAGCCAAAGGGAATAGCCTAACTAAGTTTGGAGACAGAGGGAGGGAAGGGAGGATTGCAATGAGGAGAATGAAGATTAGAAATCTGATGGAGAGAAGTGTCTCTGGGACAAAAATGAAATGTGGGAATGGGTTAGAACAGAGCAAATGGAGGGGAAAAATCTTTAAATACAAAGAGCCAGGAGAGGGCTGGACACGGGAGACTGGAGATTTTGTAGGAACAGAGGAGAAAAGGAGTTGGAGGCAAATTGGGTATGAAAGTGATGGAAAAGTAATTAGGAGGCAGCTGGTGGAATTGGAAGAAGTGAAAAATAGAAGAGAGGAGGCATACAGGCAATGAGTGGTCACACAGGCTAGGGGCTCCTGGCTGGTTAGGATCAGAATCTAGTAGATAGTGACTGGAAGGGGGGAAATGTTATCTAAAATGTGAGCACACGTGCATGTTTTATGGGTAGGAGCAGAGTGAGGCAGATGGGACAGGAACAGAAGAGGACAGCTATGTCTAACGTGTTAGTGTGCTGCCAGGGTTCATAACACTGGAAATCACTCTGCTCTAGAGATCTTAAGGCTCAACGTTTCCCTGTTGTCAGGAAATAACTGTGGGGGTGCTCTCAAAGTGTGAGTCTGCTTGACGTCTCTGCTTTCCAGTCCATAGAGAGAATAGCAGAGCGCTGTTGCCGATGAATCCACTGATAGAGGTTTGTGCTGTGGCTACAGCTGTTTAAACCTGTTAAGGTTGGCAGGCTGTGTGATTCCACACAGTAATATCTGTGTATGCTTGGAAGACTTAATAACTTTAATTCAAAACACTACTGCATATGACAACAGACCTTTCTGTTTTTTGTTTAACACTTTAATGTAATTTATATCAGCAAATAATTTAAAAAGTCATAACAGAAAAGTCATCTAGCTGGCTAGTAACAGAAGACTTTTGTTCATGCCGGTTTCTTGTGTCCTGCAACTGTATTGAGTCCAGATTTATACCACACCTGAAAAGACGAGAACGAGACTCAGATAGTCAGATAGGATTATGCTGCTAGATTCTAAGGTGCTATTTCTTGTCATTGACATGGCTGTTTTGTCTGAGTAAGGCCTTGAAAGACTGTGCCCAGGTGTTTACACGTGGCTTATGTGCTCTTGTATGTGCCTATGTCTGTGAGGGTTTTTTTTTCATTTTAATCAACTGAACTCTTGAAAGGTCGTGTAAATTTTGTGAAAAAATTGTGAAAAAAGTCATGAAAAGTTGTGCATGTTTCACTGCGTTTATGAGTAACTTCACGTGCTTAAGAGCACCTAAGCTAACAGAGTTCTTAAAATGTCTTTTGTGAAAAAAATAATGGTGATGATAATGGATTGAGGTTCTGTGAAGTATGAATATGTCTGTGTATTTTACTTCAAGTGAACAATGTCTCTTTACTGTGTTGTGATTAAATTGAACTCTTCTTTTGGTGTTTACTCCAACATGAAAATTTAATGGAGAAAATACTCTCCTGTGTATTTACTGTTTATAAATTTTCTTTTTGTCTGCCACAAATTCTTCTCCTTTATCTTTTCCAGTTGTTGTAGAGATAGCATTATATGCCAAAGGATTAACCAACGTTTTTGTAATATACAGTAATTCTTTCCTAAGCTGCTGCTTTTTTAATCTCTGAAGTCAGAATTCATCTTCAATAAAAGATACAATATGGCATTGTGTGGGAAGAAACAAACAGGGGAATTTTCTCATGTTTCCTGCAAACTAAGAATAAATTGACATCCAAAAACATTTTTACCAGTGTTATTTTGATATCCATGAAAGTAATGTATTTTTCATTTCTTATGCACAAAGGAGTTATAGAGCTGGTTGTTTGCACAGGTGGTTAAAGTTTGAAGAAGATGTAGAGGATGGTGGAGAGAGATGGAGCAAACCATATGTTGCCACATTGTCACTTCATAGCTTGTTTGAGTTGAGGAGCTGTATTCTGAATGGCACAGTTCTGTTGGACATGAGAGCTAACTCCTTAGAAGAAATTGCAGGTATGTATTGGTGTTGCATTTATTACTTATCAAAATTAATTTTAAAAATCAAATTATACATTGCTTATGAGAAAGCTGTTGCAGGAATACATGTCAGTTCAGTTTAGAAACTTCCTCAAAATGTTTTACTCAATGTATTGGAAAAGAATCTTAACATTTAACACAACTGCTAAAACACTGTATCAATGCTTATTTGTGTAGATTTTGCTATTTTAGAAAATGATCTTTACACGAAGGAGGGAATTAAAATAGAGCAGAGAGCACACTGAGGATATGTTTCATTAGAGCTGCTATGTTCTCTGCTCCAGTTGTGCCACTTCGCAGTGTGAATGTTGCATATACTAACTTCCACAGACTGAAGCTATTGTTAAGCTAATTGCAGACATCTATCTTAAAAAAAAAAAAAAAAAAAATCATTGAGGAGTTTTCATCATAATTATGTAACACAAAAACAGACAAATGGAATCTTTCTTGTTTAAAAAATACACATTCCTGAACTGAGCATGAAACAAAAAATTAAGTGCACATTTTCCAAAAAGCGTTAGCTTCTGTAGTTAATAGTGAGTGCATTTTTTCCAGTGCTGATATATTCAGCAGGTACAATTGTAGAACTTTTGAGGACTGTAGAAGCAGAAGGCAAGAGAACGTAGTAGATGAGCCTAGTCTCCCAAAAATAGAAGTGCGATTGAGATTGGATTCTTGTATTCCTGGTGTTTCTGCCAAAGGCTCTATCTAACTAGTTAAAACAGGGGACTTTTTGGTTGTATATTTGTTGCTATAATAGAGCAGGTTGTCAGAGGCAGTATAGTACAGAGGTATAATGTAGAGCCTCAGGGACTGCTAAAACTCCAAAGGTTGCGTGGCCCTGCTAGAAACAGGCAGTACAATTTATTATGCTTATTTCCCTGATTCTCCCTTCCATGAGAGAAGACACAGAGCAAAGAGCTGTGCTATTTTATAATCTGGAGTCTCTAATTTTTCTGCTTAGCAACCCTTTAAAGACTAGTCTCATGTTCATCATGGTTATTGGAGTCTGGTCCCAATATGGAGGATTATTTACTTCCCTCCTCTCCCTAGGATATCTTGATTTACGTCTACTTAAAAGTTTTATCTTGCCTTCACTTTCATGGATTTCACAGCGTTTCTGATACTGGTGCTCTATCTCTAAATCACATAATCAAAAGTTAATTTTTATATAAATACCTTATTAGATTTATAGTGTTCTGCATACTACAAACTTTGCTTACAGAAGCAAAGCATGAAGCAGCAGATGGTAAAATAGGGAAAAGAGCACTTGCACTGGAGAAAGTGTATGAGTTCTTGTTGGGCCTTTTGGATGCCTTATCTCAGGCACAAAGTAAAGTGTTTTCAGAAAATGTAAGCTATACTAAACAAAGATAGAAACCTTTTATTTTAGATAAAGGTCTAACACTCAAAAAGAGATTATAAGGAAAACTGTGCTACTGCTGGTATGAAAATCTATATAAGGCCAGATAAAATTTATTCTAGTTATTTAGGTAACCAGGTAAGGCAGATACTGTCCAATAGGCTATATCTTACAGAGGAATTAAAATTGGATGAGCTGGTGGCGGTTGCTTTTTGCATTCATCTTTCTCAAATTGTTTATGTCAAAGTGATGCAATATATTATTAATCCAAATCAGCAGAAACTTGTGTGGGTTTCTACTGAGCTGAGATCTGATTCTCTGATGAATCATGGACTGAATCAGAGCTTCAGAATTTGTCCTGATTATGATAAAAGATAAACATGAAGGCTAAAAAGCAGCTGATTTGCAAGAACAAAGGTGTTTGTCAGTATGTCACTTTATTATTTATTAATTTTTTTAAATTAAGAACTACTCAGATCAGCTGCCTGCCACTCTTTTATTGCTGTATACTTTTATAGTACCCTAGGGCTGTCAAGCTTGAAACTTGGATCTTTAAAGAAGAACATTTTAAAACTTTTATTTAAGTAGGTTAAAAAGTATTGACATAATATAAAAGAACTCCAGCAAAATTCATTTTTGTTGTTTTTTAAAGATACTGTATGGTGAGACCATGATGAATTCCTGCTTATAGTTTCTTAATCCCTGGATGTTAGCTGCAGTCAATTTTTTGTTGTTGTTTTGCTCATGTTTTGAACATATCCAAGAACTCCAGAGTTCACAATCTTAATTCAGTTTTGAGACTGAATTAAGTCTCAAAAGTCTCAACCAGATGTAAGTTGTCTTTCAGTATAGATTTTGGGGAGCTAGTGTAATGCTATTTTGAATCAGTCCTGCTTCTGGCATCTCGTGATTTGTTGATTAGGAAAACTTATTTCTTCTGAGAAAAAACTTTAGAATGATTTTCTTGAATTAGTGTGTACAATTTTTGCTTTAAAAGTACAGCCTTTTGTGGCAGATATTTTTTGTTTTCTTTGATCTGGGTGGTGGGCGTCTGTGTAATAAGGTGAGCCGATACATGACAGGGTTTGCATGGGTCTTGCTTTGTCTTTAAGAAGGGACTGCTTCCCCTTGCAGCTTTCATAAGCGAGGATGGTAATATTTCTTAACAACTTTGCAACAGGTTCTTATTGCAAGTGAGTCATTCTGAAAATTACTGATGTTATGTTTTGGGCTTCTTCAAAGAGATTTTTATTTCCTATAAATAAAGTTGCTATTCTGTTTGCTTTCTGGATGCTTTTACTATTATTTGCAGTGCAGTCATGCTGTTTTTCTCTTCCTCAGTCTAGATCCTGTGCAGTTTATTACTTTAAAACTACATAAGTAATTCCTGCTCTCATGTGTTTGTAAACTGTTACAAAGAGTATGTTGCACACATTAGCACTGGGAGGAAGAAAGACTTTTAACGGTAGTGATGACATCCACACCATCAAGGTGTATCTGCTATATAAGATAGAAATTTGATAATCCCAGGTAATGTAATAGGCTACTCTTTCGCCATAACAATGACTGCTAGAGCTGAAGATGAGATAGAGCTTGCATGTCTCAGGAAGTTCTGTCCTGTCTCTCCTACTCAGTTGTTGTTTACTGTCAATGCTTGTAGTCTTATTCAAAGTGTGCTATCCAATTGAAACATTGATGCCCTCCTAGAGCTGGTATGTGTTCCTGTCATATCTGACAGTTGAGACACCTTAGAATTTAAAGAAATGGTTGGCTTTATTCAATGTTTCACTCTTGTAATTTAACACTTTAGCCATTCTCATGCTAGGCTGGTCCAATGATGCTGACGGTCAGTTTTTGTGTTCTTCTCAGTGCTGTTATGTATACCCTGTGGAACTGAATTTGTTAAATTGAATGTACCCTGTGGTTTTGTTTTAGGTAGCACTCCTAAATTAACTTTAGTTCTTATCTTTCTGAGGAATAATTTATTACTATGATTTTATTTTTTTAATGTACTCTATTGATATTTTCTGCATTACTATATTTAAACATATTTATCTTGTGAGAACAAATAAACTAGTTATGCACGTTCACTTTCATATTACTTGCCTTAACACTGTTAGGGAGAAATGTGTATAATGTATTTGCTGTTAATGTCTTGCTATCTGGGCTGCATTCCAGTTTAAAATTATATTTCTGTAAATGCAGTGCCGGTCTTTGTATCCTTGAAAGAGTTATACTTAATCTGCATTGCTAAATTGAGACAAAGAATTCCTATTTGTTTTAGTCAAGGCTTTTAATCTATAAACACGTATTCACTAAAGCATTAAACCCCTAGCACTTAGCCCTTGAAAATGTCTTTTATTAAAATCTATGTTTTAAGACTTTAATGGGCTTGAGGTAAAATCTACAGATGAAAAACAAGTTTTATACTGTTTGTATGGCTTTCAGAACATTTTGTATTTCATCCCTGGAAGCTGTTATTTCTGCATAAAAATATTTTGGCAGCATTGTTGCGGTGAGAATTTTTAAATCATCCTGTCTTCCAGCATGCCCATTGTTTATTAGATTATTTTTCATTCCAACTCTGTGTTATTAAAAAAAAATCACTTGATCTGCAAGATTGCAAATTTCTTTGGACAAGCGACCAATTTTCCTCATTGCTAAAGATCTTATTCATACCTATGATGCTGTATTCACAGACAATACTTTGTTTTAGTAGACTCCTGAGATGAATTTCGAACTTGGTCATCATACAGCTCAATTGCATGTTAATTCCTCATATTTCTCAAATTGTTTTTAATTGTATTTGTTCCTTGAAAATAACTTGACTCCTTTGTTAAACTTGATCCTGTTTAAAAATGCACTTTCATTAAACATCTTTTAGGGTTTTTCATTACTGTTTTTAGTGTTTGATATTCTTTTTTCATATGTGTGTGCAGTGGCTCCTATATCAATAAACTAGCATTGCATGCACAAGGAATTCCTTTGAACATTTGATGTAGTAATATTTTATTGATCACTTCTGGTATAGAACATATGCTAAAAGGAAGTCTGAAAAATCTATGTAATCAAACCAATTTATTTTGGAACTTGTCTCTTCAGAGATATTTGCCAGAAGCTAGCTGCACCATTAGAGAACTGCTTCACTGTGTTGTTCAAGTTGGCAGATGAAAATGTTCTCTTTTGATATTTTCATTTAGTTCCTTTGAAACCATGCAGATTCTCAAATTACCATCTGGTTTTTTGATTGTAACCACTGAATGAACCCAAAAGGTTCTTCCACTTAACATATGATGCCGTTTTCTGTCATTTGGTTCAAAAACTGTTCAGTCCAGCCTTTAATGGCAGTACTTTCTTTACGATATGAATCATGGATCTTGCATTTTCTTGTAGTTGCGCTGAGTGTACTGTGAACAAATGTCAAATACAAACTGTGGCCACAAAGTTGCACAGTTCTTTGGTGACTTGCACACATTTGAAATATTAAAGAGTCCCATTTATTTTAAATAAATAATTTCAATTTAATAAGTTTGTATTTTTTAAGTTAAGATTTAATTATTTAATTTATTTCTTCCCATGCTTTCCAGTCTAGAGTTCTGGCTGTTTTTTCCCA